CTAAGGACGGGTTGTGTTTTGCCTTACACAGAAAACAAACTGGCCTGAAGGAAAGGGTCTGAACAAGGGGCCTGAGCTGGCAAGGGATTCTGGGAGCACGTCTTACATAAGGTGCAATTCTGGAAATAACTATTCAAACAGTGCGTTTGTTCCTGTGGAGATGTGGCGCAGTAAGAGGGCTCAAAAGCTGCATCAGTCTACATCTGCCAGTTAGGAATCTCACAGAACTGCTGAGCTTGGAAGGGGACTCTTCAGATCATCTAGTCCAACCTCCTCGCTCAAGCAGCCTGCCCAGGACGAGGTTGCCCAGAGAGGCTGTAGATGCCCCATCCCTGGAAACATTCAAGGTCAGGTTGGACAGAGCTCTGAGAAACCTGGTCCAGTTGAGGATGTCCCTGTTCACTGCAGGGGGGGCGTGTACTAGATGACCTTTAAAGGTCCCTTCCAAACCAAACCATTCCATCGTTCTATGACTATGGCCAGTCAAGTTTTGAATACCTCCACAGTTGGAGGCTCCCCAGATGCAGGACTTTACATTTCCCCTGGTTGAACTTCATGAGGTTCTTCTCTGCCCATTTCTCCAGCCCACTCAGGTCCTTCTGGATGGTAGCACACCCCTCTGGCATATCAGCCACTCCTACCAGTTTTGTATTGGCTGCAAACTTGGTGAGGGAGCACTCTTCCCCAGATCATTAATGTGGAAAACATAGGCATGATTTGTGACAAGATAGAGTATGGTGTGATAAGTGTAACTGTTGTACCCTGTGTGGATCTGGGGTGATTTGTGATCATTATGACCTGTATAATAATTGTAGTGAATGTTGGAATCAAATCGAGAATGTGTATGAATAGAGAGTATGTTTCTTGCTTGGAACAACGTAACCGCCTTTTAGAAACACTCCCTAAAGCAAATGTAAACCCTCCCTAATGCAAACGTAAACACTCCTTAGAAAACCCTCCCCTAGAGCTGATGCAAGAGATGTTTAGAAAAAGCCCTGGGAAAGATGAAACCCCGGGGACTTTCAAAAGATCCGATAGGAGGAAAGCGCGCCAAGAGGTGGAAACCTTCAAACTTCCCAAAGAACCACTGCGGGGAGGACTCCACCCCAGCACTTCAAAGGGCCCCATGGAAGAAGAGCAGGATGACTACCTGATGGGAAGAGTCTAAGAGACCCTGCTTTTAGACCTCGGGGTGCGCTGTGGCAGAGCCGAGGCGCCCTGCGCACCCAGCGCTGCTTTGCCTATTGCGTCTCACCCTGAATTGATTGAACCCAAATAAAATTATATACTTTTTATAAAGATTGGCTTCATTCATTTATAACATTAATGAAGGTGTTGAAGAGTATTGGCCCCAGTATTGACCCTTGGGATACTCGACTAATAACTGGCCTCCACCTGGACCTTGTGTCACTGGTCACAACCTCCTGGGCCTGGCCATTCAGACAGTTTTCAATACACCTGGCTCTCCACTTACATAAACATACTTTGTCAGCTCAGCTACATGGGCCTTATATTAGACAGCGTCAAAAGCCTTGCCAAAGTCAAGAAAAACAATGCCTGCTGCTCTGCCCTCATCCAACAAGCCAGTCACCTCACTGCGGAAGGCTGTCAGCTTGGTTAGGCAGGATCTCCCCTTCACAGACCCAGGCTGGCTACTCCCAATCACCATCTTCTCCTTCATGCGTTTGCAAACCGTTTCCAGGGTTAGTTGCTCCATCACCTTCACAGGGACCAAGGTGAGACCCACCAGCCTGGAGTACTCCACACTCTTCCTTGCCCTTCTGGAAGACAGGAGTGGCACCTTCTTCCTTCCAGTCATCGGGAACCTCTCCTGACCACCATGACCTTTCAAGGATGATGGAGGGTGGCCCGGCAATGCCATCGGCCAGCTCCCTCAGCACTCACCAGTGCATCTCACCAGGCCCACGGACTCATATATGTCTCATTTGTTTAAATGTTCCCTAACCTGATCCTCCTCCACCCAGGGCGAGTCCTCCTTGCTCCAGACTTTCCCTCCAGTCTGAGGATCCAGGGATTGCTGAAGGTCGGTCTTACCAGTAATGACTGAAGCAAAGAAAGCGTTTAGCACCTCAGCCTTCTCCTTGTCCTTCATCATGAGGGTCCCTGCCCCATTCTGCAGTGGACAGATGCTTTCTCTAGTCTTCCCTTTGCTGCTGATGTCATTTCCAGAATTCTTTCCCGTTTCCCTTCACATTCCTCATCAGATTCAACTCCAGGTGGGCTTCGGCTTTCCTAACCCCATTCCTGCAGGACTGGGCAGCGTCTCTATATGCCTCCTAGGTCACTTCTCCCACCCCTCGTACACCTCATTCTTGCATCTGAGTTTAGCGAGGAGCTCCCTGTGGATTCCCATAGGCCTCCTGCTGCTCCTGCCTGATCTCCTACTTGTCAGGATGGGCCATTCCTGAGCTTGGAGGAGGTTGTCCTGGAATATCAACTGGCTCCTTCGGACACTTCTCTCCAGGATAGTATCCCATGGGATCTCCGGAGAGGCTAAAGCCTACTCTCAAGACATTCAGATCAGATGCCCAGGCGTCCTCCGTCACGGAGTGGAGTTCGGAGCCCAGGAACAGGAGCACTGCCGGCCATTTCAGCAGCCACAGAGGACACCAAGGACAGCCGCTCCCCGCCGGGCTGGCAAACCTCGCTTCGGGCTTCAGAGAGGAGCCCACCCCACCGGCAGCTCTCCGGCAGCCCTACCCGGTCAGGCCAGCCCAAATGACTCCCCAGCAAGAGCCGAGCGTGGGAACACGACGAGGAAAGGCGAGCAGAGCGAGAACACAGGGATGCTTCACCAACACGCGCTCCCAACCTTTGCTGCTGGATGACAGGCACATCCCTGAGGCGGAGATGGTCTCTTCATATTCAGAAGCCTGCAAATTATTTTTCGTCCTCGGGTTTGTCCCACTGCTTTCGGAACCCCTGTCAGTTTTTAGCACTCAGTGCGTCACTTAGAAAGGAGTTGCACAGCTTAATTGTACATCAGAAGAAGAACCATGTACTTGTTTCATTTGGTACCTCATGTTCTTGCACGGGAAGACACAGAGATCAACTCCCTCTGGTTCACTTTTTCTGTATCACTCATTTGTGGACTCCTACCAAACCCCTTCTCCTTCAGTGCTATTTTCCAAGCTTGAGAGTTTCAGTCTATTCAGTGTCACCTCTTACAGAAGATGATTCACAGTTTTGAGGACCTGTTAGTTCTCTGCCAACTTTTCAAGTATTATTTTGGTCTGGAAGACCAAAACTGCACGCAGGATTTCAAGATGTGGGCATAGTACAGATTTATATAAAGATATTCATAATTACATCTTCCATTTTGTTCTTTTTCCCTTTCCTAACAATTCAAAAAATTCAATTTGCTTTTGTAGGTTTGGACTGGAATCAAAGTAATCCCCAAATCTTGTTCTTGAGCAGAAGTCAGTCCAACACCTTCACTACATACGAAATACTACCACTGTTTTTTCCCCCATATGCATTAATTTTTGCTTTTCTGTGTTGGCGTTCAGCGGCTGTTTTATCATCCAGTTCCCAGTGTCACCAGTGACCCTCCTTCACAACCGCTTTCATTGTATTTTCTAACCTACTCTTTGGTCTGTTTTTTTGTGCCTCTGCTAAAGAAGATGTTTTCACTGTGATGTCACAGTGATGTCAGACCTTTATTCCTAAGCAATTATGAAGAGTAGAAAAATCTTTAATCGGCAAGAGTACCTCACACAGTGTTTCTTCTGGTGTGTGTTATATTGCACGTGCCAAAATAAATTTATTTTACTATCACACTGTTTATCAACCCAGCCTGATGCAATCCCATCCACCTACTCTTGTTTTGCTTAAGGAATGTAATTTTGACTCATCTGCAAATTCTGACTCATTTTCTGCCCTTTAAGACCAAGAGCAACCGGTGACCCCAGGACGGACCTTCTGGGGCTTCTCTGTAGCGTTCAGCCATTGTGGAAATGGACTCGTTTTCCCCTCTGTTTTTTTTCTTTACTGTTTTCTGAGTCACAGAAGCATTTTCTCTTTCACACCATCATCGGTTAAGAATATAAACAGCCCTGAAGAAGCATGTCACAGGATTTTTGAAAATCAAAACAAGTTATACACATTATTTTGGGTAAAAAGTGTTCAGGCCCAGGGAGACAGATTTGGGATAAGAAGCTCAGTAAACCAGAACACAGTCACTGCTTTGCTGGTGAGCTCCAAGACTTCCGGATAACTTAGTTTTTGTACAATGAATCCTCACGGCTTGCTCCGGTCACGTCAGAAGCAATAGTTCCCATCCAATTACTTTAATGACTGATAGTTTTTAAGAGCACTACAGCCGGATTACAAGCAGAGATCGCATTCCAGGGAGTAACCCTACCTTCCTCCCGCAACCACAGAGCCCCAGCGCCCAAGGCGTATTCCTGGATGCAACCAGCAGCCCCGTGCCCGCAGCCCGGCCCCCCGCGCGCGTGCCCACCAGCCCCCCGCGCCCAAGGCCAAGCGCAAGCCCGCGGCATCACCACTGCTTCCGTGACCGATCCCCCCCTCGAGCTCGACCACCTCCCCGAAGGTCGGCCCCGTGCCGAGGCCAGCCCGCTGCCCCGCCTTGTCCCAGCGCAGCCCTGGTGAACGCGCCGCGGGCCGGGGGCCACCCCCTGCGCAGCAGCATCCTCCGCCCCCCTTCAGAGCAAAGCTGGAGCTGCACCTGCACCCCACGCACGTTCTTCGGTTCCCAGAGCACACCGAAAATTCTTCAGAACGTCTGCTCCTCAACCGAGACGTGACCCTGACTGCCCTGCAGCTTCAACATTTTACTCACCTAACCCTTATCTAGGACTTACAATTTAGACTGTAACTAAACTGAACAAAATAATCAGGAAAGTTTCCTTCCCATGGAATGAAAACAATGACTACTGCTCCGTCACGAAAAGGAGTTACGTCTTCCATGGAAAGGAATCTCGTCATAGTCACAAAGCAAAGATGCTGGTGCTTACCTGTGAGAGGTGAAATTGTCGTAGGAGCCCACAGTATAATGTCGGAAGAGACGCTTTGTTCTGTCTTCTCTGGTTTCTACAAGAAAAAAACGACAAATCATAAAGCTGAGAGTTAAAGGAACACTTCTCTGTTGTCTCTGCTTCTCCTACACGTAGACAGAGTGAACCCTTCTTTCATGCAAGCATTTAAGAATAAACAATCACCCGTGTGCAGATATGTGTCAGCGTGATCAGTCCCATGCATGCTCGTGTACCGTCCCACATGTCCGCAGTTTCTGTGAATAGAAGATCTCTTCACCAAAACTTCTAAACCACATCAAGGCATCACGTTTCACCAAACCCCAAGGCAGAGCCAAAGCGGAGAATCAGTGCTGGGAAGGCAAACACACACTCTGTGTCCCAGGACAGCGGCCAGATTCCTTCCCCGTTCTGTCGGCCACGTCACCCCGGCTGGCCTCAGCACAGAGGGACGCAGCTCCCACCGGAGAGATGGCAAAAGTCCTGGCTGGCATCTCCTTCTCGTCTGGTGCTCACCGAGCTCGCCCAGTGCACAGGAGTTGGGGAAGGAAAGCCGGGGACCCAGCTCGTCTGTTAACCACCGGCACGTCCCCAACCGTGCTTTGGCCAAAGCAGAGGCAGGACACATTTCAGGCCAAACTTGCTGGACCAAATCTCCCCTTTAGGGAGTAACAACTCAGGAGTCTACTTGCCTGCCTCTGAGGTGTGAACAAGCCCGAGAACCTGCTAGCCTGAGCTGTGAAGCCAACGAGAGAGGATGCCGGGGCCTCCAGGCTGCTGGGTGCTGAAGGGAGGCAGCCCGACTCGTGGCTAAGTGGGCAGAGATGCCACCGCAGACATCCGAAATACGGCCTGCAGCTAATGGCCTAAGAGGAGACATAGCTGAGAGGTGTAAAAGAATTCAAGGCAGACATTGCCAGCTACCATTCTCCTAACAGAGAAGGAATTTGCATCACGCTACGGAAACCAAATGTACTGCACGACCCAGGATCATTGGTACAGACGCACCCTGCAGAAAGCAACCGCGTCCTTGCCCCCACCTCACCGAGCACGGCACACTGAACCAACTCATCCACGGCTACAGCAGGGTGACGGGCCTCCAAACAGGCGGGTAACTCACTCCTCCACTTTGTCACCACCTTCTTTTGAAGCCCTCGGTGCTGCCTGCTGCACTACTGGCTATACCACCTGTTGGTCTGATTTAAATTCAGCAGATCTTTAAGCATGCTAACTAGGGCAGTCAGAGAGAAGGAAGGAGTAGAAGGGATGAATAAGAGAGGAAATGAGGAGCAATGTATAGCGAGACCCACCTTTTTTTGTCAGTAGGGACACAAACTGTTCGCACCCAAAGCAGTAACGATACCAAATAAGTATTTGGTTTTAACTCTGTTGGAATTCAGAACGGCAACAGCCGGTGGGATGAGGCCGCAAAAGCAGAGGGCTGTCTTTTTTACTGTTGCCACAGCACTGTCGATCCAACAGACTTCTTTTTAAGCTCAGGACAGGATGCACTCTCAAACTTTTCTTCCTGGTGTCACGATCACATAAACCCATGGCTGCTGGCAGAGGGAAATGCTGCCAGGGCAGCCCCGAGGCCAGCTTCCCAGCCTGGGGACAGAGGAGAGCCCCGGAGGCGGCAGCACCCCGAGTCACCCCGCCGACACGCCGTGCCCGCGCCCAGGGACCGGGCTGCAGCCCCCCGCTCCCAGCCGCGCCTCTGACGGGTACACGGGAGGTACCTCAGCGCGTCCTGCCCTCGGGAGCCTCGCCCTCACCCCCACCTCACACGCAAAACACGCTTCCTATCAGCAAGGCTGAAAGAGCAGTTCACTTCTCCAAAGCTTAGAAATAAGATCACCAAATACCGTACTTGTTTATACTACTGAAAACAGCCTTCCTTTCCCCCCCCGATTCTTGTTTTTCTGCTCCTCTTGTGTGTTTGGTTTGCCTTTATTTTTTAGCCTTTTTCCTTTCTCTCTCGGAAGAGCTGAGGAACAGCCCTGGCACGCTGGCACTTGTTTACCCCAGAGTGATGCCCTGCACTTTATAGTTCTGGCTCTCCTTCCAATGGCAGCGGTCTCCGAAGTGGGGCACACGAGACAATCCACCGGAGCGTGGGAAGAAAACGTTTTTTGTAGCATTAGTAAAATTTAAAAATATTTTAAAATGGTGTTTATTCCCTCTTTATCTCACTATTATTTAGTTTCTATTTTCGCACATGCTTTACAGTGCCCAAAGTACATTAGCAGAGTAGTACAGGTATCTAATTCGTAAGTAAATACATGTGTGTGAGGGGTGCGTGCTCACAATATTTTTTTTTACCAAGGGGCATGTGATCAAAACGGTGAGGCCCCGGCGCACGGGACGTGCAGGGTCTCAGAGATTAACGCAGGTGTCTGGCAATCCCCCCCCGCCCCCGGGAGCGAGTGCGCAGCCCCCCCGGCCCCCCGGCCGGCAGCGGGGAGCGGGGGCCCCGCCGGAGGGGAGGTGCAGCCCGGCCCGCGCAGCGCTGCGGCTCGGGGGGAGCACAGCGTGCTACTCCAGCCTCGCCGCTGCGCGTCGCCTCGAGGCTTTACCTAATCCCGAGGGAGGTTTCTTGGGGCCCGACGGCTCCCCGTGAATCCTCCGATTAGGCGGCCGGTCCCTGCGGTCCTGGGAAGAGCTGCCTCAAAGAACCAAGGAGTTAAATCTTACTGGCAAAAGGACACGCTACGCCAAGAAACAGAGAAGTCAAGGAGTGATCGGCCCAGCGACACGCCGCCCAGCGTTAAAGGAGAGAACCCTTTCTCCTGGAGCATCTGAGGCAGCTTCTCACCTTGCTCACGGCTCCCCGGGGAGGCAGAGGGGGGATGTCGGGCTGCACCCCCGGCAGCACAGCCGACACACGCTCGGGGTGCTGCCGGGGAAGCACCTGCACCGACACCGGCTCCCTCCCTGCCGCTGCGGGAGCACCGGGACAACGGCAGCCGGGAGCAGCCTCCCGCTCCGTGCAAGGGTGGGATCCCGCAGTGCTTCCCCTGGGGAACGGGGCGAGACAACAGAGGCCAAAAAAATACCTGAAACGGCAGAACAAGTATGGTCTGTGGTGCCTGCGAGCAAGTTAGCACCCACAACTCTTTACAACTTGACGCGGCTGTATGGAGAACGGGAGGGGGAAGGAAGGGGGGGCCCCGTGGAGGCGCTGGCGCGGCGCAGCCCCAGCAGGCCACGACAGTGACGGCGAGCACATCCACCCTCCCTGCACGCGAAGACATTCTTCAGTGAGAGACATCCGCAGTGCCCTTGGACCCGGGGGAGGCAGCTGCTGCGGCACAGCAACCCCTGCGCAGACCGGCTCCCCCGCTCCCCTCGCTCCTGCCCGCAGGAACTCCCGCTGCCCCCCGCCCCACGCTTGTCCCTTCTCCTCCCTCTTCTCACTCCGCCTCCTCATCCCCTGCCTCCCTCCACGCATGTATGGACACTTGTACCTCGTCTGCGAACACCTCTGTTGATCTCATTCCAGATAAAAGAACGGTGATTTGGTGATGGGAGCTGGATTTATGGGCTGTCCACAGCCCAAAGGCTCGTTCTCTTCCTGACACCTAAATATAGCTGCTGCCGAGCGTGTGTTTAATGGAGCCGTCACGGAGGCACCGGGGACTGAGGCTGATGGATGGAGAGGCGCGAATCACTTGGAGATAGGTGTGGAGGGGGAGGCTCTATATTTAGAGGGAGCAAGAGGACACCAGGGCAGCCCGGTGGGACGGGCTGTGCCCGTGGGGTAGCAGGGGCTCATCCTGACACACGCAGAAGCACAGGCAACCCCAAAGGACAGGCACAGGCAGGGAAACAGGAACAGGGAATACAGACCGCTGGAAAACTATAGCCTGGAAACCAGGAGGAGCATGTGGAGGGGTGCAGGCTGTACGCAAGCTACTCTACACACCGCCTGAAAAGTGCTTTTGTAAAGCTTTTAAAAGGCAGTTCTTCCTATGCAATTCTGCCTAATACATTAGATAAAAATACAGGAATATTAACATCCCATGGCTGGCCAAGAGCAGTCTGGACGTGCCAAAGACAAGGTTCTGGGAGAGAAGCAGCTCTCCTACAAACTGACCAGACAGAGCCCTCCTGGGTCCGAGCAGGCTGACACGAAGCTCGGGTGCCATTCCCATGCATCCTCTAGCACCTGGATTGCCCCATTGCTCTTCTCTCAGGCACCAACATTGGGTTGCAAATAAAAAGAGTACTTTAGAATGTAAAAATATACCTTTTTGTTTCTACAGAATGTTGGAATTATATTTCTAAATACTATTTAGAATTTAATCTTATTAAATGCAAGACTTATGCACCTCTAATTTTTGGCAGCCACCTCCCTTCTATCATCTGTTTTTGACAAACCAGTCCTGCATCACAACAAGCACCTTAACCGCAGGCCTTCTCAGAGGTGAACAGGCAGAAGTACCCCACGCCAGCCAAAAAAAGGACTGGACCTGGCAGCCAGCACGCCCCAACAAGCACCGTCCCCGATGACACTGGCTGCACGCCCTTCGGGGCAGCGCAGCGGATGCCTGCACCGCAGCACTGGGTGAAGGATGACAAGTCATTTTTTGGAAACTGAACTCTTTAATCAATTGATGCAGCAGCAGGGACGTTATGGTTATCATCCAAGAGCTACATCAAACCACCAGAGAGGTCAAGGTCACAGCAAACCATAGAGTCATCAGGCAGATAAGGAAGCGAGGGCGGGAGATACCAGTTAAGACTCTGCTAGTCAATAAAGAGGGCTTAAAATAGATTCTATCTTCCAAGTTGAAATGCCAACTAAAAGCAGTAACATTCGAATCAGAGGAGATGTGGTCTCGGGAAGGCTGGGGTCCATATTTGTGCCTTCTCGAGTACACGGGCACTTCTTGTGCCAACACACCCACGGAGGAGGCTCGCAGACACCCTGTCGCAGTACGGAGTACTGATTCATTGCTGTTTGAACTGTCTCATCACCCTGGAAGAGACACCACATTCAGCAGATGCTCTCAGCGAAGAGGAGTGGTGGGTGGGCTCATCCTCTTGCAGCGGCTG